AAGTATTGGATCGTAACTCTATCTCCAATGAAATAGGACCGTACTATAGCTCAAGTGAATGTTTTGTATCCTGAATCTCTGTACATGTATAGGTTCAAGTATTGGATCGTAACTCTATCTCCAATGAAATAGGACCGTACTATAGCTCAAGTGAATGTTTTGTATCCTGAATCTCTGTACATGTATAGGTTCAAGTATTGGATCGTAACTCTATCTCCAATGAAATAGGACCGTACTATAGCTCAAGTGAATGTTTTGTATCCTGAATCTCTGTACATGTATAGGTTCAAGTATTGGATGTTTCTCTATCTCCAATGAAATAGGACCGTACTATAGCTCAAGTGAATGTTTTGTATCCTGAATCTCTGTACATGTATAGGTTCAAGTATTGGATGTTTCTCTATCTCCAATGAAATGGGACCGTACTATAGCTCAAGTGAATGTTCATCCCACAGGTTCAGAAGGTTATTCAAATATGATTGAGAACAGTTCAAATTAGAATATGAGAGAACAACTCCAAACCATAATTTGTCATCAGAAGGAAACACCATCGTAGGCAACCATATCAAATGCATATGGATTTGTGCTTTATAATGATAATCATACAGAACCTTTTATTACACACCATTTATTGTTTAAAAAATGGCTAGACATTCCTAGTACTGTTATAGGGACCAACCACTTATAAGATGAAACTGTAACAATACAAAGTTTTTCATAACTTTATCAAATTGAGGAGGTTTGGGATATTCACGAAAAGCTACACAAGGGCCATCCTTAACTTGAACTGGTGGACTAGAGGGAGGGAAGCTAATCAAGAGCACAGTTATTATTATTTTTCCATTGTAATCCATGCTCTATTTATGGAGAAACATTTTATTTGTCGTTGTAAGTTGATTCATTTTTAAATTTCAAAAGGAATGTCCACAGGCTCTTGGTTCCAGGTTTTAATTTGGTCTAATGGGAGTGTCTTAGAAAAACATTTTAGTACAGTTTACCATTAAGACTCAAATGTTTACTGTGATCTTTGTGTTCTGAAGCTACTGACCAGACTTGTATTGTAGAACAGACAAAGTATTCTGTGACTGATGGTCACAGATGAAATCAACAGTGGCCTGAAATCACATAAAGGTATTAGCAACTTTCTATACATGATAAATATCCAACATTTAAATGAGTAAATATATCTTTATTTATATAAGTAACGAATTAAATAAATTACGCTTATGTAATAAGAAGTGGTTTTGATTGTCCTAATTATTGGAAATTCTCGATTAAAAGTCTACAAAGTGTAGAACAATTAGGGACATTCTACTGTCACTTAGACCTTGCCTTTACCTCACGATAGTTAGGGACATTCTACCTTAACTTCACGATACAAGGTGTTGCTGCATAGTTTACTGGTTAAAATCATCAAAAGACTTGGGTGTTAATCTGTGAGTAACCTTCCGGTATCCCAAGTGATTGCATAGTGACTAGCAAGTCACAATGTGATCTAGTAGAGAAAAACATTCGGGCAACGTCCTATAAGAAAGTCAGCATGCAAAATTTTCACTAAATGTGCACTTGTAGAGAAGTTTGTTCTGGTATCACCCCTGTAGAGGAACCGGATTTCCTACCAGTTCTGCTTGTTCACAGAAGTTACTTAAGGAACTAGTGTCAGATGGGGGCACCAAGAAAAAACCACTACAGGAACCAATGCCAGGCAGGGTCACTCAGAGAAGCCGCTCAAGAAACCAGTGCTAGACAGGGTCATTGGGAGAAACGACTACATGAACCAGTGCCAGACGGGGTCACTCTGAGAAGCTAATACAAGAACCAGTGCCAGATGGGGTCACTCTGAGAAGCCACTACATGAACCAGTGCCAGATGGGGTCACTCTGAGAAGCTAATACAAGAACCAGTGCCAGACGGGGGTCATTGGGAGAAGCCACTACAAGAACCAGTGCCAGATGGGGTCATTGGGAGAAGCCACTACAGGAACCAGTGCCAGACAGGGGTCATTGGGAGAAGCCACTACAGGAACCAGTGCCATACAGGGTTCATTGGGAGAAGCCACTATAGGAACCAGTGCTAGATGGGGTCACTCTGAGAAGCTAGTACAAGAACCACCACTTTGTGTGCGTCCATATTTTTCATTAATTTAACACTATGCATAGAATGATATGAAAGTTTACGAAAACTAATCTTACATGACATTTACAGATGTACACTTTTTCGGTTAAAGTGTTTATAAGGAATTGTGCTACCTACATATATACAATTACAGCAAATGGGACAGAAAAATTTTACAAAGAATTCATTGTGATGTCCCACATCTTCACGATATTATGTATAGATTCATTGATGAATCAGCTAAGTTATACGTGATCAACTCTAGAAGAATTGATACGTCCTCGGAATACTTTGTGTTGAGGTTTACCGAGTCTGGAGACGACCAGGAGTAAGAAACTTATACTTCGTGAGTATCTTGGCGAAATGTTTGGTTCTCCACGGCAGGTGCTTTGAGTTGCGGAAGAGCTCGTGAGTAAATCCTCTGTGAAGTAACCAGCAGGGAAGTTATGAGCTGTCTTCCGACCGATCTAAAGCCACTTGTTCCTCTATCATGGTGGAAGACTCTGAATTAGACGCTCTCATAGTCGAAAACGCATTACTGCCATAGTAGGAGACATCGGGTCGTCCAACTGTGGAAGACTCTGAATTAGATGCTCTCATAGTCGTAGAAGCATTACTGCCACAGTAGGAGACATTGGGTCGTCCAACGGTGGAAGACTC